CACTGGAGGTAGATCGAGCAGAGTTCTCCAGAGAACACCGCCGGACTGCGCTACACCTTTCCCAGACCCTGTAAACTATCCCTTCACTTGTAAGTTACCCCACAAAATAAACCTCCCTTTTAACTATGTGGAGTGGCCTTAATAATTTCACCAATACTATACATTCATCTTTACAGTACAACTAGGAAAGATGTTAATGATCTATTTTTTCCTAGAAATTTGCCTTCTTTGCTTCCTCAAGAAACAGATGCCTGAGGTCTCCAGGATGACAACGTGACACTCCTCCATTCACACCTTCTGTTGGATGTGAGCTCACCAATTCCCAACTCTTCTTCCCCACATAACCCCATGCCTACAGGAAGTTGTCAGACTTGAACTGGCGCCCCTATACCCAAAGAGTCTGGAATGCTTGGGTGGGAGCTCCACCTCAACCCCTGGCACCCTGGCATCCCTATACCCAAAGAGTCTAGAATGTTCTGATGGAAGATCCACCTCAACTCCCCTCCCCCATCGCCTTCCCCAAACCCCGCCCCTTCAAAGTCCACAAAACACAGCTCCTCCCCCAGAGAGGCTCAAGACCACTCCCATAGGATATATAAGCTGCATCCCAGAAAACAGACACATGGTTCTTCTGTTCTCTCATCCCTGTCTCCTCTCTGAGGGGCCGGGAATCACCCGGGAATACTTTAACCATTAAACCTGGGTTTTTCCAATTTGGTCTGATTCAGTTTAATTTGGATTGCTGCATTGGTGGAGAGGCCTTCAGGGTGCAAAGACTTATCAATCTCCTCAGGAATCATGTCATGCAACACCTACAAATTTATCATTTCTTTTGATTCTTATGCAAGAGGCACTGCAGATTTTCAATGACTTATGGTAAACTTTCATGAAGAGACATATTGGTGATTATCTTTCCCTGGTCTGGAGACTCCCTCAATTAACAGGACCGAAGAAAAAATTCCCCCAAACTTCTTAACTTTATCTTCTGCCAGCATTCTGCCTTGTCCCCTCAAAATCTGAATCCTGGACAGCTTCAAATGGCCACCCTGGATAGTCCAATCTCAGACTGCTTCAATGAGGCCTGCACTTTCCTAATGCTGGACAGTCCCACAGAGCCTGGACAGCAAATGCAACAGCCAGCCATCCCAGGACTTGGCCAGCATCCCAGTTTTCTTACCAAAGATGCAGGACCTCCTGTATACACACACACAACAGGAAGCAGTCTACAGAACACAGCCCCTACTTCCCATTTCCTCACCTTTTTATAACGAACGAAAGGGAGGCATGTTAGTTTCCACAGCCTGCCTCCGCCACTGAAGCAGCTGCCTCTCCACCACCAGCTTTGCGACATGTGCACCCCTTAAGGTACCCACCAGGCAGTTTGCTCTCTTGCCTCTTGCTCCTCCCTTAGCATCTCCTTTCTCTTATCTCCCTTCTCTCTCTTGCCTCTTCTCTGTCTGTCTGTCTGCCTGCCTCTCTCATGTCCCCACTCCGACATGCCCTTTCACCCTCCCCCCCCAATACACCTCTGGCACTGACCCTGTTGCCTGTGGTGTGTTTGCTTAGTGGCACCCCTTGACAGGGCCTGTTGAAAGGTACCTACCTGGCCTTTCTTTTCTTAAATCCCTTCACACACAAGACAAGGGGAAAATGAAGTATCAGCCTGACTCCATTTTGTAATGAGGAGCCATTTTGATACTCCAGTTCAGTTTCGGTTTACTGTAAAATGTAAGCTTCTGTTTCTTGGAATTGGGCTACACGTCACCCCTGTGACCACAAACTGTTCTAGAACGTGTTCCAAGAAGATGTCCTTAATTGCTTGGTCTCCCTTCTGTAACAGTGCCTGTTTGCAAAATCCCCCACCCTGTGGTTTTGTCCTATAAAAGGAACTTGACATTGGCTCAGCGCTGCTCTCTTGAACCACATCTTAGGAGGAGACATCTGCTAGCCTGGCTCTGGCGTATACCAAATAAAGCTTGTTGTGATATGGCCATAATTTGTGGTTAGTGGTCTTTCTCTTTGAGTCCGTGGGATTAAAACTATAACCCCTAGAAAAATAGAAGCAATCATTAACAGCCCAGGGCAATATGGTTTTAGTGCAGAATTAGTCCAAACTTTCAAAGAAGAGTTAATGCCAATACTCCTCAAATTATTCCACAAAAGGAAAGTTGACCTGTTCTTTTTATGAGGTCACAGTTACCCTGATATACAAGCCACACAAAGATTCAACAAAGAAAGAACAATTTCCTTTGTGAAGACAGATGCAAAAATAAATAGAATATTTGCAAACCAATCCAAGAACACATCGAAGATCATTCACCGTCATCAAAAAGGCTTCATCCCAGAGATTCAAAGATGGTTCAACATACATAAATCAATAAATGCAATCCACCATATCAACAAACTGAAATAAAAAAAAACATATGATTATTTCAGTAGGTGTAGAAAAGGCCTTTGACAAAAATCCAACACCCCTTCAGAATAAAAGTCCTGGAAGGATTAGGGATACAAGGGACAAACTTCAACATAATAAAGTCAGTCTACAGCAAGCCTATAGCCAACATCAAATTAAATGGAGAGAAACTCAAATCATTTTCACTAAAATCAGGGAGGGACAAGACAAAGTTGCCCACTTTCTCCATACCTATTCAATATAGTACTTGAAGTTCTAGCTAGAGCAATGAGATTAACTGAAGGATATCACGAGGATACAAATTGGAAAGGAAGACGTCAAACTTTACTACTTGCAGATGATATGATAGTATACATAAGTGACCCCAAAAATTCTACCAGGGAGCTCCTACAGCTGATAAACACCTTCAGCAAAGTAGCAGGATACAAAATTAACTAAAAAAAAAAAATCAATCATAGCCCTATGTAGAAATGATAAATGGGATGAAAAAGAAATCAGGGAAATAACATCCTTCACCATAGTCACAAATACAAATTATCTTGGTGTAGCTCTAACAAAGCAAGTGAAAGACCTATATGACAAGAACTTTAAGTCTTTGAAGGAAGAAATTGGAGAAGATATTAGAAGGTAGAAAGATCTCCCATGCTCATGGATCAGTAGGATTAACACAGTAAAAATGGTTATCTTACCAAAAGCAATCTACAGATCCAACACAATCACCATTAAAATCCAAAACAATTCTTTATAGACCTTGAAAGAACAATATTCAACTTCATAAGGAAAACAAAAAACCCAGGATAGCTAAAACAATCCTGTACAACAAAAGAACTTCTAGAGTTATCACCATCCCTGATTTCAAGCTCTACTACAGAGCTATAGTAATAAAAACCACATGGTATTGGCATAAAAACAGACTAATCAATGGAATCTAACTGAAGACCCAGACATAAATCCACACACCTACAGACACTTGACTTTTGACAAAGAAGCCAAAATTATACAGTGGGGGGAAAAAAGCATCTTCACCAAATGGTGCTGGTCTAACTGGATGATGACATGTAGAAAATTACAAATAGATCCTTATCTATCACCTTGAACAAAACTCAAGTCCAAGCGGATTTACATCAACATAAAACCAGATACACTGAACTTAATAGAAAAGAAAGTAGAGAATAGCCTTGAACACATTGGCACAGGAGACTGGAATAGAACACCAACAGCACAGGCACTAAGATCAATAATTAGTAAATGGGATCATATGAAACTGAAAATTTTCTGAAGGCAAAAAACACTGTTAGGATAATTTTTTGTACAGTGTGAAGATGTATCTCTGTCATTCCTCACCTGCCTAAGGCACCTTTTGATTGGTTTAATGAAGAACTGAATGGCCAACAGCTAGACAGGAGAGGATAGGTGTGACTTCCGAGGAGAGATAGGAACTTGTAGAAAGGAGTGGAGGCATGGGGGATTCACCAGCCAGACACAGAAGAAGTTGGACATATGGTACTAAGGAGAGGTAACAAGCCATATGGCAGAACACAGATTAATATAAACGGGTGGATTTAAGATTTAAGAGCTAGTTGGGAACAAGCCTAAGCCAAGGCCAAACTTTCACAATTATTAAGCAGTCTCCATGTCATTATTTGGGAGCTGGCAGTTCAAAGATTGTATATATTTGGCACCCAGTGTCAAGCATAGGGCCTGAGAGCACCAAGGAAAGTTCTGGGCATGACCCAGATGTGGCTTCCTAGCAACCGCAGTTTCTCTGGCAGGCTTGTTAGTGCTGCTGCATGCAATCACCCCTTTGGTGGCCTGGCATGGCTCATGGTCAGAGAGTGGCTGCAAGTGTGCAGAAAGCCAGGTCCAGACCGAGAAAAGCCCTTAACAGGTACAGTATGCCTGAAAACATGCTTAGGTGCTGGAAAAAGAACATTAAATGGGTATAGATCGCCTACAAAAACATAGCATAGTAGCAGCGATGGATGCCAATAATATATCAGCACCAGCTGACTATCTGGGGCTGTTAGGAAAGTTTACTGGCCTTTACTGTTTTTTTACAATTCTTTGATAAGCAATACTGATTGTTTAGTGAGGAAACTGTACCTAACAAAACTGCATTAAAACTATGGGTTCCAATCAACTACTTCACTTGGCTTGAGGCTCATTCCAGGCCTGACTTCCTTGTCTGCTATTTCCTAAGACAGACTCATAGACCAAGTTCTTTAAGGACACAGGGAGGTTGGGGTGGAGAATCAGTGGTTTATAGCTGTTCCCTAGGGACAGCAACACAAGTGTGAGTCTGGTTTCCCAAAGTCTCCACAATACACAGACATTTGGCCTAGAAATTCACACCTGAGAATTGCCCTTTAAGAAAAAGGATCTGGTATGAGAAGTATTGATAAGGAAAACACTAAGACCCAGGAGATTAAAGGGGAGGGAGAGAATTGCAACAATAGCTAAATCAAAGAAAAAAATTACAACCTGCTTCTACCCTTGGAAGGCTAGGCAGAGTACATCAGGGTACGTCCACACAACCAAGAACTAAGGAAGTTCTAGGAAAGGAAACTCAAGGGTTGTGTTTATTCCTACAGAAAGACATTCATGATATGGGAGAGAAAATTACAGCCTTCAAAATAGTGCTTTGTTTCATACAGATAAACCTTTCAAAAAATTATAGATCTACACGTAAGAAAAATCTCCTGGCACAAATGTTAGTGAACATTAACTATAGCTGGGAGGAGCAATACAAAGATTCAAAGGGGGCAGCATTGGTTTCCAGTTTTCTTTGGGAGATGTATGTTTGCTTAAAACAAGTTTCTACATTAGAAAAGCTATTAAAAATCTGCTGCATATCCACGTAGTAATAACATGGCAGAAATGTCTGCTAGGCTAGGACTCAGAAGGAGAAAGTGAGACGTGGGTTATGTTTGGTGTCCATTATGATACCAAACACACAGAATTAGAAAGTGGAAAATTAACTCGGGGGTGTTTGGCTTGTACAACATGGGAGCAATGGCATGTACATATTCTATGTATCCCACACAGTCCATGGGCAACAGTCATCGTAGAACCATCCCCATAATGTCACCTGTGCCATGTGTGGCAGCAAGGGAACATCAGAACCAGCAAAGGTACTCTACTCTGAGCTGTCTGGATCTCTCTAGTGAGGGCTGGGGAGTCTGAAACACTAATCCAGGGGTGTCAAGAGCTCATAACCCAAAGCCTGCAAGGAGTATCCATGACCTCTTAATTCAAATGGCTGAAAACTAGGCCAGGATACAGAAACAGTCAATGAGGAACCAACCAATGGAAATTTAAGAACTGAATGTGAGGAAAGGGTTGTGTGGGTGAAGATTCTGAGACATCATGTTTGTTTTAGATTTCATGACTTCACTGTGCATACTGGGGTCGACCTCGAAAGACTAGCTTGATGAAGAAAATCAAAGCAGTCAATGACAGTGGCTATGGCTTACCCTGCTCAGGCAAGGATTTGGGTTCTGTGACTCTAGGGTGCATGTGTCTTCATAAGACCACCACTCAAGGCAATGGTGAAAACATTTAATACCTTAAAATGGTAGAAAATAGGCAACTCAAGCCTTAACCTTTAAATTGTGAAGCATGCCTAGTATAGAAATCAGATTTAGTTGAAACTGACCATGCCGATGATGTCAGTGTGCAAGGAGCAGTAATAATACAGGACGGATTGTTTTTAATAAGGAAGGGGGAAAAGAAATCACAAAACCTCAAACAACTACCAAATAACTCCTACTTGATGAGTAACAGCTTCACAATACAGAAGAGCAATTAATTGTGAGGATGTATTTAGCAAAGAAATACTTCCTTCAAATACATGTCTCTAATCCCAGAGCAAGAGAGAAATGGTTATAAGAAAATCACCCCTTGACTGATGGAAGCAGATGCAGAGATCCACAGCTAGGAGGTCAATAGTATGATGGGAAACTCCACAGAGACAGCTGATCTGAGCTAAGTAGAGCTCACGGACTCTGGATGGACGGCTGAGGAACCTGCAGGGAACCAACCAGACCCTCTGAATGTGGGTGATGACCGCGTGGCTTGGTGATGATTGTAGGGCTCCTGGCAGGGGGACTTGGACTTATCCCTGGTGTATGAACTGGCTTTTTGGAGCCCATTCCCTATGGTGGGATACCTTGCTCAGCCTTGATGGGGGGGAAGTGGGGGGGGGGGGAGTGGGGGGGGAGTGGCTTGGGCCTGCCTCAACTTGATGTGCCAGACTTTGTTGACTCCCTGTGGGAGGTCTTAACCCTCTCTGAGGAGTGGCTGAGGGGTGGGGTGGAAGAGAGGTGAGAGGGGAGGGGGAGGGGGAGAGGGAGGAGGACAACACAATAAAAACAAAGAAAAAAAATGAAAATCACCCCAAGAAAGCACCCTGAAACTACAAATATCCTTATCTGCTCTCATGTGAAATGGAGTTGGCAGTTCTCCACTGGAAGATGGCAGTGGACAGTAGTACAGCACAATACCTTTCTTCAGAACGGACACGGCAGAGATTTAACAACCTGAGCTCAGCTCCCATACTGACACTGACAACCTTGGTCAAGACACTGGTGACCTGTGGCACAGAATGAACTACCAGCACCAGAAGCCCTGGCAGCATTCCTAGGCAAATCAAACAAGACAGTTTTTGTAAATGATGGGGTACCATGCAAACACATCACTAACAACACCAGCTCTGAGAGGTGACTGAGCTGAGTAGGACCCCGGAAATCCTTCTACACTGCTGATCTATGCCATGTGGTCAGGACCCTGCATGGTAACCCTTCTATGGGAACCAAGACTAGACCAGTCTAGAACCAAAGCACCAATGGTAAGCTTTTCACCAAGATGTCAAAACCAAGGCTCTCCATCTCACAAACACTACCAAAAAACGTCAAAACCTATGAACTTCTTTCCTATGTAAGGAAACACTCTTCTTAAGGTTTTGGTCTATGAGATGTCTGAAGCACATTAGGCTCCTACTTACAAAATTTTTGTCCCATGCTTTTGTAACCATTTGCCATTTTTTACCCCACCGTGCCCAATTTTCAAATTAACAAGACCTGGTGAGGGGTTGTAGAGGGCTTTCTCATATTCAGGTCACTCAAAAGGTTGAGAACAGTAGTGGTTCTCAACCTGTGGGTCGCACGACCAGCCCTTTCACAGGATTTCCTAAGACCATTAGAAAACATAGATATTTCCCTTATGATTCATAACAGTAGCAAAATCACAGTTATGAGTAGCAATGAGAATCATTTGATGGCTGGGGGTCCCCACAGCATGAGGAACTGTATTAAAGGGCTGCAGCATTAGGAAGGATGAGAACCACTGGTCTACAGGAAAAAACCCATCATGGTGGGACAAGTGTGTTCTCTGACCTTCCCAACACTGGCTGTCCTGTCCTGTGCCTGTCCCTCTTGAAGATGCAGCTGATGCTGAGTGGGGAATGAGGGCCAGCGGAAGCACTTCCCACAGGCTGGCACTGGTACGGCCTGAACTTGGGGGTGATGACTGAGACAGGAGCTCCGTCTGAAGTTCTGCCACTCACATCACTGGCAGGCTCTGTCCCCCACGTGGTCATGTTTCCACCGGCAGAGGATGACATACATCTTGTGGTCCAGCTCAGGGCGGAGGGACTTCACTGCCTCATGGGCTTTGAGATGCCGAGAGAGATGCACATCCCAGAGGGTGGAGCTTTGCCACACTGGCACTGAAAACATTCCTAGACTCCTGGCTGCTCCCACTTAAGGAATTCTTAACAGTCGGCGGGGGAGTTTTTACCTCTGGTGCACGTCAGGGGTTTCTCACCAGAGTGAGTCTTCAGGTGTCTGTGTCGCACTGTCGCACTGTGTACACCTAAAGGGCCTCTTTCCAATGTGGAACAGCTCAGGTCTCCTGAGCCCTACTTGGTTGCTACAGACTCTTCTGTAGCATGTAGTGTGGTTCCCTGGATGGGGCCGGCGCTGGCTCCAGGAGCTGAGCCTTCCTGGGAGTCGATTCCTGGAAAGCTGAAAAGATCAGAGCTGTTTGAAAGACTTGTTTCCTGAACAAAGGTCCCAGGGTCACTCACTGTTACAGTCCCCGCCGAAAACCTGTTCCTTATTGCCGCCGTGCAATTCTGATAGGTCATCGGAGGAGTACCCACACAGACATGTATGTCACTGGAGCAGTCCCCACACAGACACGTATGTCATCGGAGCAATCCCCACACAGACACGTATGTCACTGGAGCAATCCCCACACAGACACGTATGTCACTGGAGCAGTCCCCACACAGACACGTATGTCACTGGAGCAGTCCCCACACAGACACGTATGTCACTGGAGCAGTCCCCACACAGACACGTATGTCACTGGAGCAGTCCCCACACAGACACGTATGTCACTGGAGCAGTCCCCACACAGACACGTATGTCACTGGAGCAGTCCCCACACAGACGTGTGAGAAGCTGCCCACTGGCAGGTCCTCCAACCCTGACCTATGGGTGGTTCCACAGCAGGGGGAGCTCTGCTCTGGGCTAGTTCTTCAGTTTCAGGTCTCCTCTCAGGACCGAGGAAAGCCAAGAGCCCCAGCTACAAAGAGAAAGGCGTCATGATGGAGGGGTAGGGGAAACAGACACTGTCCTGCCTGGAGCTGGATGGTAGAGGCTCTCCTGCTGCAGGAAGAGATGTACGGCAGAGAGAAGAGGGCAAGTACCAGACAGAGTGAGCTTCGGGTGAGAGCCCTTCTCCTGACCAGGAGGGCTAGGATGGATGCTGTCTGGAGAGCCTCCCCTGGGCCTCCTCCCGAGCAGCTGATCATGGGTGCTGCCCACGGCCTCGTATCCTCTCAGGCTTTGCCCCACTACTCACTTCTCCATGGTACCGCAATGCTGTCTTCCTCTGTTGTTTGTGGGGCCTCTTCTTTCAGGAGTGAAATCAAGCCAGGTTCAGGGAACTGGTACCCTAATGAAGAAGGAAGACTTGTAACTTGGGGGTTCAGCAATTCCCCAAGGTATGGGTCCTGAAGACTTTGGGGCAACAGAAAAGGTGCACAGACTCTCACAGGAGTGAAGTGAAGCCTGTTTCCATCCCTCAAAGCAGATCTTCTCTGTCACTTTACAGCCCTATACACCCTCCCAGAGCAGACACCTCCTTGTACACCCTTATACACCCTCCCACAGCAGAGGTCTCCCTGTATACCCCTATACACCCTCCCACAGCAGACACCTCCTCGTACACCCCTATACACCCTCCCACAGCAGACACCTCCCTGTACACCCTATACACCCTCCCACAGCAGATGTCTCCCTGTACACCCCTATACACCCTCCCACAGCAGATGTCTCCCTGTACACCCCTATACACCCTCCCACAGCAGATGTCTCCCTGTACACCCCTATACACCCTCCCACAGCAGAGGTCTCCCCGTACACCCCTATACACCCTCCCACAGCAGAGGTCTCCCCGTACACCCCTATACACCCTCCCACAGCAGAGGTCTCCCTGTACACCCCTATACACCCTCCCAGAGCAGACACCTCCCTGTACACCCCTATACACCCTCCCACAGCAGGGGTCTCCCTGTACACCCCTATACACCCTCCCACAGCAGACACCTCCCTGTACACCCCTATACACCCTCCCACAGCAGAGGTCTCCCTGTACACCCCTATACACCCTCCCACAGCAGAGGTCTCCCTGTACACCCTATACACCCTCCCACAGCAGACACCTCCCTGTACACCCTATACACCCTCCCACAGCAGATGTCTCCCTGTACACCCTATACACCCTCCCACAGCAGATGTCTCCCTGCACACCCCTATACACCCTCCCACAGCAGATGTCTCCCTGTACACCCCTATACACCCTCCCACAGCAGAGGTCTCCCTGTACACCCTATACACTCTCCCACAGCAGACACCTCCCTGTACACCCTATACACCCTCCCACAGCAGGGGTCTCCCTGTACACCCTATACACTCTCCCACAGCAGACACCTCCCTGTACACCCTATACACCCTCCCACAGCAGAGGTCTCCCTGTACACCCCTATACACCCTCCCACAGCAGAGGTCTCCCTGTACACCCTATACACTCTCCCACAGCAGACACCTCCCTGTACACCCTATACACCCTCCCACAGCAGGGGTCTCCCTGTACACCCCTATACACCCTCCCACAGCAGAGGTCTCCCTGTACACCCTATACACCCTCCCACAGCAGAGGTCTCCTTGTACACCCCTATACACCCTCCCACAGCAGACACCTCCCTGTACACCCTATACACCCTCCCACAGCAGGGGTCTCCCTGTACACCCCTATACACCCTCCCACAGCAGATGTCTCCCTGTACACCCCTATACACCCTCCCACAGCAGAGGTCTCCCTGTACACGCCTATACACCCTCCCACAGCAGATGTCTCCCTGTACACCCCTATACACCCTCCCACAGCAGATGTCTCCCTGTACACCCCTATACACCCTCCCACAGCAGACACCTCCCTGTACACCCCTATACACCCTCCCACAGCAGATGTCTCCCTCTACATGGAGACACCATTTGTTGTCCCAACTGTGTAAGACAGGTGCTCTTGGCATCTAAATACTGGAGGCAGGGAGGCTGCTCAAACAGCCGAACCATAAAAGACTTATTTGGGTAATGGGAAGCTGGAGTGATGATGGCTCTGGAGTTAAGAGCATGTAATACTCTTCCAGAGGACACAAGTTTGGCTCCCAGCACCCACACTGGCAGCTCACAACTGTTTGCAACTCCACTTCCAGGGGATTCCATGCCTCTGGCCCCTATTGGTACCAGCCCTCACGTACACACAACCAGTCCATACACACAGAAAAAAAATTTTTTTAAATAAAGAATTACATATTCCCATTCACAATGGTGCCAAGGCTGGAAAACTGTTACGGCTTAAAAGCTGAAAAGGAGGACCGGGTGGTGTGCTGGGCCCCACACCCCAGCCTGGACAGCCTGACAGCATTCCTCTTCCTTCTGCTCCTCCCCATCTTTAGTTCCCATCCCCAGATCCCCACCATCAGTGTACCACCCAGCTGTGCACTTGTTTATCATCTGTCTCCTCCCACTCAGACACACAGCCCAGTAAACGCGAGTTCTCATTTAGTCTGGATCCCTAAAGCTGCACCAAGACCCAGCATGGTGTGACCTCGCTGACAGATTAACGATCGGCACACATTGCTGCATATATTGGTAATATTTGGAGCAGCATTGAGTAGTTATTTAGCATTTTTCTAGAGAGCAGTGTGCTGGATAGTTTTATGTCAACTTGACACAAGCCAAAGTCATCTGAGAGGAGGGAACCTCAATTAAGAAAATGCCTCCATAAGAGCAGGCTGAGGGCAAGCCCATAGGGCATTCCTTAGTTAGCAAGTCATTAGAGAGGGCCCAGTCTGTTGTGGGTGGTGCCATCCCTGGGCTGGAGGTCCTGGGTTCTATAAGAAAGCAGGCTGAGCAAGCCATGGGGAGCAAGCCGGTTCACAGCTCCCCCCATGGCCTCTGCATCAGCTCCTGCCTCCAGGTTCCTGCCCTGCTTGAGTGCCTGTCCTGACTTCCTTCAGTGATAGGCTATGACATGGACGTGTAAGCCAAATAAACCCTTTCCTCCCAAGCTGCTTTGCTCACCCTGTTTCATCACAGCCATAGTAACCCAACCAAGACAGTCAGCTTCCAACTCACTACTGTAGTTTACACGGAAGCTTTCTATCAACCCTATAAAAAGAAAATGACACCACTTCCAAAAGAAAAAACAGAGGCCACATAGCAACAGGCAACAAAACCAAGAAGAGGTAGTCAAATTTTCTCATGACGAGAGAGAGAGAGAGAGAGAGAGAGAGAGAGAGAGAGAGAGAGAGATCTCCTTTTGAAGCTGGGCAGGAGTATGGTTGGGAGATCTGAAAAGAACTGGAGGGGCGGATGGGGGCAGATATAATCAAAATACATTGCACACATGCGTGACATTCTCCAAGAATAAATAAATTTAAAAATAAATGAGTGGCAGCTTAACGAGGACCTGGACTACGGTGACATCAGCCCACATGCTAACACGGGTAGGGGGAAGGTCAGGGGCCCAAACCCCAGACAAGGAACAGTAGGCAGCTAAGGAATGTGAGAGCAGGAGAAAGAGTCCTCCCCAGGGAAGAGCCCACTCACTGGTTATCCAGTACCTAGCGGTCAGCACTGAAACCACATACATATAAGTAACACTGTACGGACTGAACAAGCTATAGTCACATATATTAGAAATACGTATGTATATATATATTGGTTTGTATATTGAGAATATATACATGCACATATACATACGTGACAAATAAAGAACCGGGGGCCATAAATTAGTGAGAGAGTACTAGGGGGGCATAGGGGAGGTTGGAGGGAACAAAGTCAAGGGGGAAATTACGTTACATTCTAATTTCAAAAAAAGAAAAATGGTCGTTATAATGGAAAAAAGAAATGAGATGGCTGGAGAAATATCTCAGCACTTAAGAGTACTTGTGGCTCCTGCAAAGGATCTGGGTTCAATTCCCAGCACCCATATGACAGTTTACCATCTATAACTCCAGTTCCAGGGGTCCAGTGCTCTCCTCTGACTTCCATGAGCACTGAGTGCACATGGTGCCCAGAGAGACATGCAGGCAGAACACTCATAAAATAAAGTAAGACCTAAAAAAAAAAAAACAGGTGGATAAAATAAAGTATCACCTCACTGAGATGGCAAAACACATTCACAAAGTAGCTGAGAGCTGACCTAGTGTGCAGACTACAGAGAGCACACGTTCACTTTGGGAGACCAGGTTCTAGAAATCCTATGGTATCACCTCCCTGTACAGGCTCCTCTAATATCACCTCACAGTACAGGCTCCTCCGACATCACCTCCAGGTACAGATTTCTCTGAGCAGCACTGAGGTAGCTTAACTCCTCAGGTGCAGAACTACTCCTCCTTCAAGGCATATCCTTGAAGGTCACCAGCTCCCCAAGCACCAGAAAAATACCTCTAAATGATTAAAGAAGCAAGGAACGAGCCCAAGTTGGAACAATGGCGCTCACTGCTGGAGGCTGAGACAGATAGTGAACACAGACTGCCAGGCTCACACCCCCAGCGGGCTGCCTTCTGGCACGGCCTTAAGCAGCTTACCACGTCTTTGTGCCTCCATTCTCACACACCTAAAAAACGGCATAAAGCTCAGACTAGAGGCTTGCTCTGAATAAAATGGGATGTGAAAACACAAACAATTCAGGATGGGGAGAAAGGAAGAAAAATGTTGGACAGCACAACACACAAAGTAAAGCAGGGAAGAGAGAAGATCATTTTAGACAAGCTAGATGGGGGGAAGGACCCTAACATGTTTACAGACAGACTCAATGGAAACCAAGCTGGGATGAATAGGGAAGACCCAGCAACCAGGAAGGAAGCCATGACAAAAGAGAGCTTAACTCACCGGGGGCCCAGGAGATGGAAGACTAACACCTTTGCATCTTGCCTCTGCTACCACTGAATGAGCTCTGAGCAGGGGAGCCTAGAGGAAAATAACCACAGCACTGAGTCCTTTCTGGCTGCAGCCATGGCCAGCCACCTTCATATCACCCCATCCTAATGTGGAAGTCAGCAGTGGCTTCCCATGGTAAAGGAAAAGATCCAAGAAACCATTTCCTTTCTTACCAAAGTCATGCTCCAGGCACTTCCCATCTGTAAACCTCTCAATGGGCTTTCCCACGGCTTTCTAAATAAAGTGGAAGTTCTCTGGGGTCAGTGATTTCTCATCTGTCAATCAAAATCACCAGGGAGGGACCTGGAGAGATGGCTCAGCCCTTCAGAGAGCTTGATGATCTTACATAGGACTGGGGTTTGGTTCCAGTACCCACATGACTGCTCACAACCATCTACAATTCCAGTTGTAGGGGGTTCAAAACATTTTCTGATCTCCATAGGCTCCTGCATGCATGTGATACACTATATATATTCAGCAAGCTCTCTCTCTCTCTCTCAAACACACACACACACACACACACACACACACACACACACACACACACAATTAAAACTTAAATTCCCAGGAAGCTTCAACTTCTAAACAGCACATTAGAAGCAACAATGTCTACACTCTAAGGGCTTGTGAGGGTTAAATGTTGCTGATGTACAACACAGTAGGCAGTTTTTATCAGCCCCTTCCTACATCTTCTTCACTCACCAATCTAGAAGAAAAGGCCACCCTACCCCAAAAAGCCTGGACCTGGCGTCATTCCCGTGGTCTTTTCCAGGTGAGATTTTCAGTCATTTCCTGTTTCTTTCTCAGACCTTGTGCAATTTCCCCTCATTCCCCTCTAACCTCAGCTTAGATCTCTGGCCCTGGGTTGTTTCTAACCTCTAGGGCAATACCCACTATGTCCACGAGAGGCAGTGTAACACCATGGTTAAGACTAGAGACCCAGGGCAGAGTTGTCATAAGGGAAAGGGGATAGATCTTGGAGGAGTTGGAGGACTGGGGAGGATTTGACCAAAATACATTGAACAAATTAAAAAGAAAAAAGAAAAATGAAGGTGGGGGGGAAAGACTAATACAAACCAGGAAGCAGTCGCCATGGGTCCAGAACCCAACGACCAGTTAAATAAACATTGTGGAACTGCTATGTAGTGGCACCCGTAATCCCAGCACTCAGAAAGTGAGGCAGGAGGATTGCTGTGAGTTCAAGGTCAGCTTGAGCCACACAGTAAAACTCTTGAAACAAACAAACAAACAAACAAAAATGGTGAAATCATAAGCATAGGCAAATTGCTTGATTTTGTGTCTATAAAACAAAAAGCAATACCTCTTGCAAAAGCTGCTGCTTACCAGAATCAAATGAATTAATATACCAAACCTGGTGAAGGAGGGAGTCACTTCTGCAGGAGTGTGGCCACTGGCAAGTTCCTCACATCACAGTGGACCACCCCACACCTTGTACATGTGGGCGGTGCTAACTGGATTCAGTGGGTTAAAAACAAACAAGCAAAGAAATAAATAATGAAGAACAGGAAGTTGGGAGGGAGGTGTGATGGGGGGTCCTGAGGGGACTATAATGAGATGTGGATATGATCAAGATATAATGTATATGTGCATGAAAGTTTCAAGAATAAAATGCAGTTATATGCCAGTGAACTAACCTTAGTACTTAGTTTATGATATGCTAGCATTACTGAGCTATGCAAAATACTGATATTTGTTTTAAGTTCGTTCATTTATACTTATAAGTATAATTAAGGCCTGTGAGCTCACTATTCTACCCCCAAGCTTGAGTATTCTCAACGAGGCATATGCAGCCACAGCCCACAGGCTCTGAGCAGCTGAGGCAGCTAAACACAAAATTATAAATGATAAATTATAAATGATTTGGAAACTTTGATACTGTTTTGTAATTTTTTTATAACTTGATTGCATGGGTTCTGGATCTTGTCATGTCTCCATGAATCTAGCCACATACTCTTTCCTGTCCATGCCTTACACCCTCCATCTAGAAATACCTGTGATTCTGGATTTTTTCCCTCTTGGTATGTATGTACTAGTGTCCTCTTAGTATATATTTATGTAGTATATATTTAATATATTTTATTTGTAGTTGCCATTATTTTTATTCAAAGGACTAGAGGCTTTCTCTTATTTTTGAAATGTCCTCTTCAGTGCCAACCGAATGATCTGAATTCCTATGAGACTAACAGATACTGGGAAAGGCTGAACTTCCAATCCTTATATTAATCTCTCATTTTTTAGAACCTCTTGAACTGGACATTTAGCCATCCACTTAAAAGTTCATTCTCGCCCTCAAATGAAAAGACTAAAGAATCAACATAAAAAAATATGGCATTTATACTTAACATATCAAGTCTAGATTCTTCAATAGTTCTGATTTTTTGTTTATGATTAAAAGTATGTATATATGTGGGTATGTGTGCACGAGTGCAGGTGTCCCATGTATATACATATTTTTTAATCAGGGTAGGAGATTGTAAGCTGCCTGATATGAGTGTTGGGAATCAAACTCAGGTCCTCTGCAAGAACGATACAAGTTTTTAACTGCTGAGCCCTCTCCTCCATTCACTGAGGAGTGTAGTTTTGATAAAGTTTTCACTGGGTTAAGAAATACGGATGGGCACAGGGGACAAAATTGGTACTCTGAGAAACAGAAACCATTGCAGCAGCAATCACACTGAATTTTCTTCCATCTCACATGAGGTTAGACAGGTTTAGCTTGGGTGTGCGCAAAATTCTTTCTTTTCATTCAACATACTTCTATTCCTCCCCTACCAGCAAGCCAAGCATACAGATGTGCAATAAACAGAACAACAGTTTGCTCCCTCCCTGTCTGTCTGTCTGCTCCCTCCCTGTCTCTCCAGACACCAGAAGCAACTCTGCTGGGAGAGTGGCTGCCTCCTTGCCTTTCCTTCCTCCGGTGCTCTGAACCCACCAGCATCTTCGGCAGGGTGGTCTGGAAATGCTCCCACATTAGTTGTTCTCTCTTCTGCTCCTCAGTTAGGACCCCTGCATGCAGCCATTGCTGGCAGAGCTGCTAAATCTGGCTCAAAGCTTGGTGAGGCCCGGTCACCAGGAAACACCGATGCTTACTCATTTGAAGGAAAGCTTTCGCAGCCTCTGGGCATTTTACGTGGATGGGTTTGGGATTTTTTTCTTGACCGTGCTCATGAAAGATGTAGGCATTCTTCCTGAGATCCCAAACTTCTTTCACATGTAGCCTCTACAGCATGGCCTCTACAGCATGGCCTTTACAGGATAGAGATACTGTCGAAGGCAGGCTGTTCCAGAATATCCTACTGTGGAAGACAGGGAGTAGAGTTACATGAGACAAAAAGGATACCAAGACCATAGGACCTGCAGCTATTACAGAGAGGCTTACAAATGTATACCGAGGACTGAGGAGATGGCTCAGTTAGTAAAGCATTCGCCACACAAGCATGAGGACCTGAGTTTGAGGCCCAGCCCAAACATTTAAAAAAAAATTCCAGGTGCAAATGTATACTTAGAATTGCACAAAACGGCAGAGGTGCCCTCAAGCAAAGGGAAGCAGCTTACTTCTCACTAATGTCTAAAGAGACCCTCATAGAGATTGCGGGCACACAGAGATGTTGTCTCCGAGCTGGAAATGCACAGAAGGACAGACGTATGTCCACCAGGAAATGGTACTGAAGGGGAAAGACTGGCGTTTCAAGCTGCTATGAACTCATCTGACAAGTAAACATTTTCATTTTAAAGCCACAAGATAAGCTGTATATACCTTGGCCAGTAGAGTGCTTACGTAGCACTCAGGGAGCCTTGAGTTCAATCCTCAGCACTAAATAAACCACACACGGTGGCTTACACCTACAATCCCAGTCCTCAGGAAGCGGAGGCAAGAGGATCCTGAGTTTAAGGTCATCTTCTGCTACACAGAGAACTGAGGACCAGCCTGGGATTCATTAGACTCTTTGCAAAAAAATAAATAAATAAAATCTTGAGTTAAAACAACTATTACATGGCTGGAGAGATGGCTCAGAGGTTAAGAGCACTGGCTGCTCTTCCAGAGGTCCTGAGTTCAATTCCCAGCAACCACATGGTGGCTCACAACCATCTGTAATGAGATCTGGTGTCCTCTTCTGGCCTACAGGCAGAACACTGTACACATAATAAATAAATAAAATCTTTAAAAAAACCTATTATATACATTGAGAAAAGACAGCCAAATGACCAATAAATTGGGACACAATCTGACTAGTTGTCAGTGATGTGCAACTTAAAGCCAGAATGAGATAGTACTATGGACCTTTTAGGATGCCCAAAACGAAGAGATGAGGCTATAGTAAGTCTTGTGAAGGAGATGGAGTCACACAAGATATACTGGACCTCTAAACATAAATGAGAAAATGGGCATCTTGCTATTAAATGAAAGGAGGTTCAACAAGCCTACCGTGTAGTATAAGTCCACTTACACTAAAAAAAAAGCCTAAAATATGAAAGTAGTTGGTCAAATACCGACAGGGCTTAGAGAGGAGGTCTGGGTGAGGGAGGTCGGCACTGACAAAGTGACTGAGGTAGAGGGGGATGGATGATAGGGCAGAGGAAGAAAACGGGAGTGAAGGGAAGGAGGGAAGGGCCGAGATGGTGAGGGGCACTGAGTGCTGTGAGACTGAGGTAGAAGAAGTACATGGGTGAGGTCAGAGGTGGGGTATAGCTGAGGAGGAGGACCATGGATGAGGGAGGAGGTGGGGTATAGCTGAGGAGGAGGACCATGGATGAGGGAGGAGGTGGGGTATAGCTGAGGAGGAGGACCATGGATGAGGGAGGAGGTGGGGTATAGCTGAGGAGGAGGACCATGGATGAGGTCAGAGGTGGGGTATAGCTGAGGAGGAGGACCATGGATGAGGGAGGAGGTGGGGTATAGCTGAGGAGGAGGACCATGGATGAGGGAGGAGGTGGGGTATAACTGAGGAGGACCATGGATGAGGGAGGAGGTGGGGTATAGCTGAGGAGGAGGACCATGGATGAGGGAGGAGGTGGAGGAAAGCCAAGGCGGAGGACCATGGATGAGGGAGGAGGTGGAGGAAAGCCAAGGCGGAGGACCACGGATGAGGGAGGAGGTGGAGGAAAGCCAAGGCGGAGGACCATGGATGAGGGAGGAGGTGGAGGAAAGCCAAGGCGGAGGACCATGGATGAGGGAGGAGGTGGAGGAAAGCTAAGGCGGAGGACCACGGATGAGGGAGGAGGTGGAGGAAAGCCAAGGAGGAGGACCATGGATGAGGGAGGAGGTGGAGTATAGCTTAGTAGGAGGACCAGGGCTGCTGAAAGAGATGGGGTAAGGCATAAATGAGGAAGGAGGTGGAGCATCGCTGAGGAGGACTGGAGCTGAGGTAGGAGTTCCGGTATAACAGAGAAGAAGGAACCTGGATAAGGTAGTGGGTTGGGTCTATCTGAAGAGCGGTGACAGGCTAAAGGAGAGGGCGGTGTAGCTGAGGAGGACGTCCAGGTCTGAGGGAGGAGGTGGAGCATAGCTCAGGAGGGACAGGGCTGAGAGAAGAAATGGGGTAGAATTGAGAAGGAAGAACAGGAATGAGGGAGAAGGCGGGGTTAGGTGAGGATGGACAGGTTGAAGGAGGAGGTGTCCACCAGGAGAGGCGGTGAGAGGAGAGGCTGAGGTAGAGGAGGGGCAGGATCGAGACGGCTGTAGGGGGTAATCCCCGGTACAGACCAAGCTGCAGGGCTGGGGGAAGCGGTGGGGCCCGCCGCAGGCTGGAGGGAGGGGAACGGTGGTCCCTGGATGCACAAGCCCACGACGAGGCAGGAAGGCCACCTACACACGCCAGCTTTCCCGGGCTCCCAAGCCTGGCCTAGTCACGACTCCCTCTCCAAAGCCAGCTTCCAACCTCAGGTCCTTCCCCTAGAGGTCTGGCCAACTCTTCATTCACTACGCAGTCATCCTTCCGCAGCCAGCCCACCAAAGCCCACCACGGCTTCTTAGCCCATTTCAGGCTCCCCAGGCTGTCTGTGCTTACCGCCTCCCTCGGCCTCGTGTCCCCTCCTGACCCTGAAGGCCCACGGTCCCCATGACGGAATCTCAATCTTCCCCCCGCCCCAGACACTCACTCATCTCTCGGAAGGTTCTGGGCTAGGCTGACGAACGCTCCAGGAGAGCGCGTGCGCAGTGGCAGATTCAGGCACGCGCATTGGGGCGACTCTGCCCGGGAAACGGAAGTCCGTGGGAGTGGGTGGGGCCTCAGAGTGAGAAGGGTCACATGGTGGGTGGGGTCGCGGGGTAAGAGAGGTGCGAAGGACAAAGCCGATGTCCCAGACGTAGGGACACGGGTGCAAGCAACCCCCTGTGGCCTTCGAGTTAATGCCTCCACTTACTGAAGACTTGCTGCATGATTTCAAAACTTTGAAAACAACCAGTTAATGGTGAAATCGTCTTCCATCACTGCGCTCAAGTTGTCACACCCCAATCCCCACACAATTACACAGGTGACCGTTTGAACGGCTTTGAAATGATCTTCCAGGGTACCCCTCCTCCCTTACAGGAAACAAGGAAAATTCCAACCAACCTTGCTTTAAATGACTTTAAAAATCTGTAATTTTGCAGGTCAGCCAACCGAACAATACATTATTGTCTCTGACTGGCTTTTACAGTCCCGGTGCATCCTCTGAACTGTGGTACCCACCAGGCTACTTTTTTGAAAACAAACTTCTGCTTTTGTTAGAATCGCCCATTGTTCACTTAGGCCTGTATGAATGGGTGACTTTAGAGGTTAGAGGGAGGCCAAAATTCCACCCTTGGATCATGCAACCCTGGCCTCTTCTGAACATGCATCCTGTGAACCTCTATGATGTTGGATCACAGACCAGAAGAACAAAAGTTCCCTGGGCTGGGAGAATGTGCTATGGGAAAGCAGCTGGCAGCCTGGCTTGATGATCCCAGGACCCACATGGTGGAAGGAGAGAACTGGCTCCCTCAAATTATTCTAACTCCCCATGTGTGCTGTGGCATATATACACAATAAATAAATTAATGGTTTTGTTTGTTTGTTTGTTTGTTTGTTTAAGAATGAATAGCATAGCCGGACGGTGGTGGCGCACACCTTTAATCCCAGCACTTGGGAGGCAGAGCCAGGCGGATCTCTATGAGTTCGAGGCCAGCCTGGTCTGCAGAGCAAGATCCAGGACAGGCACCAAAATGACACAGAGAAACCCTATCTGGAAAACAAACAAACAAACAAATGAACAGCACACTTCTAATCACCCTTTTCTCAATGTTTTAACCATCCCTTCTTCTTTTCCCTTTGTAGGGTAAAAGGGCCAAGGAAAGAACACCCGAACCCTGACTTGACACTAAGAGCAGGGCCAAGAAACAGAATCCCTCCAATCCCTGAGCTTGCCTCAAGATCAGATCACAAAAACCCCACCAAGCCCAGGCCACCTTGGAAAGCCCTCCCCTACCCCGAAAGGAACACTATATAAAGCCTGTCTTCTGTTGGGTTCCCTGTGCCCCCCACCCCAGCAGAGGCAGCCACCTGCCTATGTTTTTTTTCCTCCCAAGAAATCCCTCCTGAATTTTGTTGTGTGGTGTGACTTTGTGGTATTCCTTGACTCCGGATTGCCAGGATACCTTTTCCCTCAGAGCGGCAACACTTGCATTGGGGAAATCTTACCCCTCCAGGACGGAGCTGTGACAGTTCTGTTGGGGACACTTTTCCCTTCAGAGCTGTAACACTTACACCCTTCCCCCCCTCTCCTCTTCCCTTATTATTATCAACAGGACCTTGCTAGGTAACCCAGACTGACTTCAAACTCACTATGTACAATTCTGCTTCTCTTTCCCACAAACACCCTCCAAACTATGTCAGATGTTGTGATTTTGAAAGGTGCTCTTTCAGTTCTTCATGCTTGCTCGTTTCATGAATAAATTTTCTTTTTTTCAAAACTCATTGTTTTAGTGACAGCCTACTGTGTAATAGGGAAAACAGGCCTGTTTGAGTAACATGTAGAAAGTATGAATATGTATATGTATAGTCACAGATGTACAAACTCATATGTTTATGTACATATATATTTATGAACATGAATGTGATATATGTATATGCACACTATATAAATTAATGTTTGTATTCATAGTTTAAAACATAAATATTAAATATATTCTGTTATGTTTTGACATATACACGTGTGTAGGCAGATTTTTCTGTCCCACCAGCCAGCTCCCAAATCACAATAGAGACTTATTATTAATT